AACTGCACAGTTATTTATTTTAACATGTATTAACATTAGAAGCAAAGGTTCAGTTGCCAGACCGCCTGGTTCAGATCTGCTGCTGCTTTTTCACTGCTGACCTTGGGCAAGTTATCTAACCTCTCTGGGCCTCAGAGCTTCCCCTATAAAATGAAGATGGGTAATTGCTACCTCACAGTTTATGAACATCAAATACTCCTAGAACACATAGCTCAGTGCCTGGCATATAGTAAGTGCTAAATAAATGTGAGCTATTATTATTTTTACTGCAGGTAGCCCTTGCTCTTTGAGTTTGCACCATGCACTTCATTTTTACAAAAGATGGACAATGGTACCTCTTTTTGTCAACCAAAAGAAATCTGAAGAGGATTTTCACTTTTATGAAAAAAGGCGAAAAGTGGAAACAACATCCAGCATTTGATTTGCAGCAAGCCTTATAGAGGCCTCGTGCAACCCAGGCAGTGAGCCCCGCCAAGCTCCTTCCCCGGAACCACGCTCAGCATCTCAGCATCAAGCCACCAGACCTGTGAACTGTGTCTGCAACCATCTGTGCTTTATCTCGATTTATTTTGTCCATCTGATAGCAAGAGGTGTCCTAAGCTATCAGAAAACCTAAGTGAGGTTATTTTTTCAGTCTGGGAATGCTCAAAAAAATGTTTCCATGTGAACTGATAACTGCTTCTTTACTTTATGGCATTTCAGCTTACAAAAGTTTTCACAGAACACTCTACTTTTGGATAGTGGGGGGAAAACTGTATTATTAGTACTGTTTAGGACACACTTAGTTCTTCCTATAGGGATAGGAAGTTTCCTTTAAAATAAATGTATACAAGTTTTTACAAAAGTAACTTTATTTAAGGAACAAATATTAAGTAGACAACAGGGTAAGTTGTACAAGGAGACAACACTGTTGCACAGGTGGCATGTGGATGCCTGAAATGTGGGAAATATGGCCCCAGAGGGTGGAGCCAAGAGTGGTTGTTAGAAAGGGAAATGACATGGCAGGAGGGAATTTCAGAAAGCTCACTCTGGAAATTCAATGTAAAGACTGGACACCCAATAGTGGGAGACCTAGGTGAAGGCTGGGGCAAGAGTCCAAGAAAGTTGACGATAGCTTCACTATAGCAGTGGCAGTGGAAGCAGAGGGGTGGGGCAGGACTGAAAGCTATTTCAGAGACTGGCCCCTGACTGGAGGAAAACAAGCTGGGGGATCTGGGGCAAAGGGAGCTGGTGCCTCCTAAATTCAGAGGATGTGAGGGAGGGAGCAAAGTTGGTGTGGAGGTGTGTGGATGTAGGGGCACTTGCAGAAGAAAGGAAACCAAAGGATTAGACTCAGAAACTGGGCCCAGGGCTGATTGTGAAGTTCAGACGCTCAAAGGGGTAGTTGAGGGAACTGAGAAGTTGCTCATTTCAAGGTGGATCAGTCATCAGAGAGAGACAAGAAATGAAAAGGGACAAGGAAACAAATAGAAGCTCAGAGCTAAACTTAGCTGGAACTGACAGAGCTGTAGGCCTCCATGCATATTAGAAAGGGTGCCCCTTCCTCTGGGCCCACAGACCTACCCTGGGGGTAAGCAGCCCTGCTAACCTACCCCATAGCTTATCTGTGCCCCTGACCCCTTTCTTGTTATGCACTCCCCTTATGGGGCTAATGGGTCGTCTGGGAGAAGTCCCTGCCTCACCTTTCAGGATGGCCTGCAGCGAAGCTACCTCCTCTTGGCATTGCCGCTGCACTGCGGCCACAGCCTCGGCCTTGGTGCTCTCGCTCACCTCCGCCACAGCCTTCATGGTCTCCATTTCTGCCAGGGCGCCTGCCAGCTCAGCTCGAAGCCGGCCGAGCTCCTCTGACTCAGCCTCAACCCTTTGACCCTCCCGGGACTGGGGGTGCAGCGCTGGGGGGAACAAGGATCAGCCTGCTTTCCCATTACTCCCGGATCCCCAATACACCAAGACACCAAATCCACAATTCCTGCAACATAGTACTGCAGCCTAGGTCCTCGGACCCTCTCACCTAGCCCCGCCCCGCCCACATGGCCCCGCCCCCCAGCTCGGCCTCGTGTTGCCTATAGTCCCGCCTCCTCCCAATCCCTGGGTTCACTCAATCCCCTTTCTTTTGCCACTACCCCTCCCTTCCAATGGCCCCGCCCCTCGCCTGCCACTGATCTACCCCTTGAAACACCAGGCCCCGCCCCCTGGCCCCCAGGGGCGTGACCACACCCCTTTCCCCAGTCTCCCCTCTTGACCCCTAATCCCCGCGGCTGCCGAGCTCAACCCCGCCTTCGGCTTCACCGCCCCTCGCGTGCATGGACGCACCCTCACGTACCGGTCCCCGTCCGCCGTCGCCCGCCATTCTCGCCCGCGGCCGCCTGCGCAGCTGCTGCCATCGCCTCCGCGCAAACGGCGGGTCCCCGCAGTCGCTGGTGACGGCGCTCAGCGCTTCCGGGTCCTCTCGGCTGTTTCCGGATCCGCTCGGTTCTTTCCGGATGGCCCCGGGCTGGAGGCCAAGGCCGGAGTTGGGGGAATTGCCAATTCGGAGTCTCGGCCGAGGATTTCCGAATCTATTTCTGGCCACCGCCCCAGACCCCGCGCCTCTCTGCCTTCGTTCCAGAGGTGGGCCGTTCTAGAACGCCCTTCCCTCAGACTCTCGAGTTCTTTCATCAAGTCTTTTGGCGTCTCTGGGTAACCTTGGAAGCTCAGCTCAAATTACACCTCCTCCGGGACGTCCGCCGGCCTCAGCCTGAGGAGGGCGAAGCTCTCAAGGTCTCCCCGGACTCGCGGAGCCAGCCCTTTGATCAGCCCCGACCGCCCTTCCGCAGAAGCCTGGCTCACGTTACAGCGAATTGTGGGCGGCCTCCTTGCACCTCCACCCTCGTGGAGCGTCTCTCTGGGGAGGGCTGGGTCGGCTTCACTTTTCTGGACGCCCTAGTCAGTCGTATAAGTTAGAAACTTCCATTTCCCCACCTCCACTTTGATATTCAACCAACCACCGCTTCTACACCCCTACACCGCCCAGGGCCTATCAAATAAATCCCCGGCCACTGATCTAAATCGAGTCTTTATTATCCGTGACCTCTCCCTCCATCAGCCATCTGACATTTCCCCTTGAACAATGACGGCAACTGAAACAAGTCCAGAGCCTTAATAACCCTTCTTCCAAACCCTTTTCTCCCTCTGAATTACACTCTTGGAGCCTGGAAGTCCTTGATGTTTCGGGTCCTCCTGCAAGTCCTGTAAGCAGTACCTCCAAAAGACTGAAATTCCAGGATGAGTCGCTTTTTCATCTCCAGCTCTAAGACCCAGCCCCAGTCCCCTTTGTTTGTCGTCAACTTTCACAGTACCTCCTAACTTCCGGCGATGCAGCCTTTGGGCGCCTTTAGTTAATTCTCAAAGCAACTAGAATGTCTCATCCCTGCTTAAATCCAATTTGAAAATGGGCAAAGGACACAAATAGTCATTTCACTGATGTCACACATGGCAAATATGTGCACGAAAAGATGTTCAACACCATTAGCCGTTAGGGAAATGCAAATGAAAGCCACAGGGAGATAGCACTGCACACCTACCAGGATGGCTAAAATAAAAGAGTGAAAATGCCAAATGGTTCTGGTTGGTATAGGAAGAGTCCGAAAAGAGGAGAAAGTTGACTCCAGAAATAGCTAGGATAGAAAATGTACCAGCCTTGGTGACTTGAGTGCAAGGGGAGGAGAGAAAAGAAAGTTTCGCCCACTCTTCCTAACCTCCTTTTGTTGACCTTAAAAATAAAAGTTATTCCACCAGAAAAAAATGGGTTTATTTGGGAATAGCAGAGAATTACCATTCAGGATATTTAAGCTATGTCAAAAATCATAAGACTAATCCAACAAACACAGGAGAGGAACATGATTTTATGGAGAAGGTGATAGTTGGGAGGGGTTGTTTTGAACAAAAATTCTTTGGAGAAGAGAGTTCAGATTTCTCAATGGCTGAGTTGTTGGGGTAGTCAATTTCTTGTAGAAGATGAAATGTACATCTCTCCCCCATTCTTCCTATAATTGACATGGCATGGTACAAGTGAGAACTCCCCTTTCTGGCTTCCTGGCTCCCTTTTAGTGATGTTTCCCTTTATTAGTTTTCACATTTCATACAGCAAGTATTTATTGAGCACCTAATAGATGCCAGTGAACAAGACAGTAAAGATCCCCCCAGTCACAGAGTGAACATTCTGCAGCAGGAGGCAGATGATGAGAAGACTAACATAAGTATTTTTGGGGATTGGGGCAAACGGTGGGAAGGAAATAAAACGGGTGTGGGATCAAAAGTACCTGGGCGGAGGGTGGGGGGTGGGGGCTACTGGTCAGGGAAGGCCTCTCTAGAGAATTAACATGGGAACTGATACCTGAATGTGAAAAGGAGCCAGTGGAGCGAAAAGCCGAATACAGATCCAGGAAGAAGAGCAGCAAGAGCAAAGGCCCCGCCCCGCATGAGGGGCAGAGTGGTAGAGGGTTGAGGTGGGAACATAGGTAAGGGGCAGCCTCACTCAGTCCTTTGGAGGCCATGGTTGGGAGTGTTTATTTTAGGTAGAGGAAAAGCCACCGAAATGTGCTAAGCAGGGGACCGATTGCTCTAGCAAAGACACTGTGGGAGGCAGCTGGGATGCTAATGAGGTGAACTTGAGAGATTTTGTTAAATGAAAGGTAAATGGGGTCCTGACACCTCCCCCTGTCCATTCCCAGATCCCCCACTCATCTCCCCTCCCAGTCATCCACCCTGACCAAAGGGAAGTGGGGGCCCTGCCAGCTGGAGGGTCCCCTGGGGTTTGCCCAAGGCAAACAGGAAGCCACAGCCCAGTGACACAGTCCTGGGAACTGGCAACTGAGAAAACAGGTCTCCTGGGTCCCTGGACCCTTTCACTGCAGCAGTGAAAGACACACATTGGGGCTGGAAAGAGGAAGAGAGAAGAGAAGAGGGGAGGGGAGGGGAGGGGAGGGGAAGGGAAGGGTGGGGAGGGGAGGGGAGGGGAGGGGAGAGGAAAGCTTGGGGAAGGAGGGGGCCCCTAAGCCTGGAGCCACTCACTCAGCAAATATTTATTGGGTGCCTACGATGTGTCAAGCACTGTTCAGGGCACCATGCATAGAGTGGTGAGCAAGCCAAAGTCTTCCTCACGGGGCTTATGTTCTAGTGGGAAGAAACAGGAGGTGAACAAGAAGACTCACAAATAAGATCATTTCACATGGTGGTAAGTATTGGGGTGAAAATAAAACAGCATAGCAGGGAGGAGATGAGTTTTGTGGGTCTGAAGGGGTGCATGGAGAAGGGGCCTGAGGTGTGACCACCCCTTCCTCCCTGAGGGGACTGCCCAACCGCCCCCGCAGACGCCCATGGTTCAGTGCTCACCAGGCTCCAGCCTGCCCCAGCATCCCCCGCGCGGCGAAGATGGGTGCCCCAGGGAATCTGGCCACCATGCCACCGCCTCTCCTCCTCTTCTTCCTCCTCTTCCTTACCCCTGTGGGGGTCAGGCCTCAGAAACCGCTGCTGGTGAAGGTTAAAGGTATGTCCAAAGGGCACAGATGGAAAGAATTGGGGCTGGAAACCTGGGTTCTGGCTCTGGGTGCCCTTAGCCAAGTAACATATCCTCTCTGAGCCTCCATTTTCTTATTTGTAAAATAAGGGAGGGGTTGGAAGGACTCTGAGGGCTCATCCACTCCCTGCTGGTGGGGTCACTGGGTTTATAACCCAGTGTGACGAATGAAGGGGGCTAGGGGCTCCTCTCGATCTCCACCCCATCCTCAGAAGGCGACGCTGCAGTGCTGCTGTGCCCCGATGTCACCCGTGAAGTGCTGGCCTTGTCTCAGAACAAGTCGGAAGCCTTCACGAAGCTGGACCGAGAGCTACCAGACCTGGGCATCCAGCTGCTCATCTTGAATGTCACTGACCAGATGGGGGGCTTCTACCTGTGCGAACTGGGGCCCCCTTCTGAGCAGGCCTGGCAGTCTGGCTGGACAGTCAGCGTGGAGGGCAGTGGTGAGGTCCAGGCTGGGACGAGGAGGGCTGGATGAGAAGAGGGAGGCCCACCATGGATGGAAGAGGTCCAGCAGCTAATCTGGGTCTGGGGGGACGGGCTGCAGGTCTGAGGGACAAGCAGGGAACCAGTTTTAGGTGGGTCCTAAAAAGTTCTGTGTCTTTGTGACTTCAACACTGAGCTGTTGCATGTCTCTCTGTCTTACCCTTTCTTCTCTCTGGGTCCGAGTTGCCGTTTCTCTGCTTCTTTCTGGATCTTTGCCTCTATCTTTGCCTTTCTGGGTCTCTGTATCTCTCTGCCTCTCCTGGATGTCTCTGTATCTGGTTCTGGGTCTTTTTCCAGGGGAGCTGTTCCGGTGGAATGCTTCAGACCTAGGTGAGCCAGACTGTGGCCTGGGAAACAGGCCCTCTTCTGGTCGTCCCCTAAGCTCTCAGCTGTATGTGTGGGGCAGAGACCATCCTGAGATCTGGGAGACAGACCCTGCATGTCCTCCACCTAGGGGCCACAAGGAAGGTAAGGAGCTGGGAAGATACCCAGAAGTGGGGAGGCTGAGGGATAGGGGATGGTGATGGGGAATTGGAGGGTTTGGGGGGAGAAGACTCCAAGGATTATGCTTTCCTAGCCTTGGCTCTTCCTCCCAGATCTCACCGTGGCCCCTGGCTCTACACTCTGGCTGCCCTGTACGGTACCCCCTGCCTCCGTGGCCAGAGGCCCCATCTCCTGGACCCATGTGCACCCCAAGAGGTCTAACATCTCATTGCTGGGCCTAAACCTGAGGGAGGATGCCCCAGTCAGAGAGATGTGGGTCCTGGGCACCCTCAGGGGAGGGGCTGTACTGTTGCTGCCCCAGGCCACAGCTCATGATGCTGGAACCTATCACTGTTACCATGGCAACACAACCATCAAGATGCGGCTGAAGGTCACTGCCCAGTCAGGTAGAGCTTCTCCTAATTGTGGGGCATCTGTGTGGGGCTACTGGGAAAAAACTGGAAGGCAGCCAACCTGAGGGCTACTACCAGTCCATCCCAAACCCCAACCTCTACACTGAACGCTGACTCCACCTCTTTTCCCCCTTGCTTCCAAGACTCTACTTTTCTGAGTCTTTTGTTCTTTCCCATCAGCTCTGATAGAGTATTTCTCCCTTCCCCACCCTCACTGTTGGAACCCGTGAGCCCTCTTCTGACTCGGTCTACACCCTCTCCTTGTCTACACACTTTTCCTGTTTGACCTCCTTTCCTCCCATGGCTCCTTGAGCCACCATGCCTTGGTGAATTGATTCCAGATTCCATTCTCCCCACACCCAGTCATTCCCTGGAATTGCCATATGATGTACCATGGACACCATAGGCTCAATATATACCAAATCAAACTCCACATCTTCCCGAAGTATGCTCTTCTGGATGGCCCCGTGTAAATGACACTTTGACCTGCCCATGTGCCCAAGCCAGGAACCTGGGCAGCCTTTCTTTTCTTCACTGATCCATCAAATTGGTCACAATGTTCTTCCCATTCTGTCAACTTTCACTCCAACCTCGACTCATTCTGAGTTTGACCTTGGCACATTGCCGCATCCCACCCCTAAACTTGTGAACTTGACTCACCCTTTACTTTGAACATGGCTATCCTTAACTGCAGCAGGAAGCTGATCATCATGTTTAATCCTAACGTTGCCCCTGACTATAGTATGGCTTACTCATGGCTTGTTCAATAGATGCTGCCCCAGGCCCTGTACTGGGCTCTGTGGCATAGTCCCTGACCTGAGAGGGAGAGAAGAGAGCCCTCCCTGTAGCCTGGGGCTTGCAGGATCTGTGTTTTGTCCCTCTCTCCCAGACTTAGGGCTCTTTGAGGTCTTGAGGCTGGGAAGCAAGATGCCGGCCCAGGGTCCTCATTTCATGGCTCCTTCCCTCAGCAGTAAAGTATTGGCTCCTGAAGAACGGTGGCTGGAAAGTCCCTGTTGTGCCTTTAGTTTATCTGATCTTCTGCCTGAGTTCCGTGGTGGGCTTTCTTCATCTTCGAAGAGGTGAGTCATGGCCCCCACTGGTCTGCTCTAATCCTACCCTACCTTCTTCAGGAGAGCCCATAATGGCCAGACTGACAACCCCCTTTCTCTCCTCCCATACTTCCCCCACAAACCTCAGAATGCTGCCCCCACTCCTCTTGTAAGCACCCTCCGAACTTCCCAGGTCCCTAGGAATTTGGAATCCTATCTCCTCCATTGACCCACATGACCACCCCAGCTCCCCCAGATCTTCACTCTGCCAGACAGGCCCTCCTCTGACCACTCCCCTTAACTCCCACCAGCCTTGATCCTGAGGAGGAAAAGAAAGCGAATGGTTGATCCCACCAGAAGGTAATGACGCGGGTGCCTCCCAACCCAGTCTTCCATTCCCGCGTTTTCACTTTGTGCTTTGCACTTAACTGTTTCCACTGCTCAGGGTGTATTTCTCCATCTGCACGGTTGAAACACTGCCCAACCTTCAGAGCCCAGCTCTAAAGCTACCTCCTCCTTGAAGACCTCCTTGGAGTGACCCCAGACTCCTCTGTAGGCTGTGTCAGAACAGCGGAGCTAATTACAAGTGACATTTTAACCTCTGAGGGCCTGGTTAAATGTGTCTCCCAGTCCCCTCCAGGCCTTTCCTCACAGTGCAACTCCGCTTCCTCTGCCAGGTTCTTCAAAGTGACACCTGCCCCGGGAAGCGGAGCCCAGAACCAGTACGGCAACGTGCTCTCCCTTTCCACGCCCACCGCTGGCACGGGTAGGATACACCGGCCAGGTCTCTGACCCACCGCTAAAGCCCCATTCATCTTACCTCTCCAATCCCCTGAACGCCAGACGTTCCCGAGTACGGAGCTCCGCCTTCAGGAAAGAGCCAGCCCAGACTTGAGCCCGCCACCAAGGGCTCATAGCCCCTCCCCCAGACTCAGAACCTGAAGTCCTGTTGCAAGAGCAGAACCTAGCCCGACTTGAGGCCACGCCCCTAGATTTAGATCCCGCCCCTTTGGTTTTGGGCCGTGTTCCCAGTTGGCCTCACACGGATCCTGCAGCAGCCTCTCCTCTTGTGCCACCGCACAGACCCTTACATCTGACCGCTCCCATCTCTTCTCACCCATCCCCTACAATGCCCCTCTCGCCAGGACGCGCCCTGCGGTGGGCTGCTGGCCTGGGGGCAGCTGTCCCGTCCTACGGAAACCCGCGCAGCAACGTCCAGGAGGCCAGAGCGGAGGGGTCCCGGAGCCCGCCGACAGCAGGTGATTGGCCGGGGTCGTTACTCACATGGGGGTGTGTTGAAGCAGTTTGTGGCAGGAAGCGTGGACTGGGGACTGGAGGAGCGGTCTGTGACTCAGTTCCCACTCCCATCTCCAAAATCCAGGCCCAGAAGAAGATGAAGGGGAGGCCTATGAGGAGCCAGACAGTGAGGAGGGCTCTGAATTCTACGAGAATGACTCCAAACTTGGACAGGACCAATTGTCTCTGGGTAAGGCTATCCTCTGCATGGTTCCCCTACCTTCGCAGGGGCTGTGGGCCCTCACTGGACCCTCCTTCTACCCCAGATGGCAGTGGCTATGAGAACCCTGAGGATGAAGCCTTGGGTCCTGAGGATGAAGACTCCTTCTCCAACGGTAATTTGGGGTCATTGTGGGGCCTCAGAGACTTGGGAGACGCACGGGGCTATGGAGCCCCGTGGAGGCTGGAGCAGTCTCTGGAGTTTTCTTTTTCTGCAGCAGCTGAGTCTTATGAGAATGAGGATGAAGAGCTGGCCCAGCCAGTCACCAGGACAAGAGGTGTGTGTGAGGATGGTCACATTCCCGTCGGGGTGGGGTGCGGGTGGTGCATGTGACCTGGAGGCCAGGAAGAATAGTGACTTCCCTCTTCCTTCTTCAGACTTCCTGAGCCCTCATGGATCAGCCTGGGACCCCAGCAGGGAAGCAACCTCCCTTGGTAAGAAGTGCTTGGGACCTGCTTGCTTTGCCCAGATTGGGTTGACTTGGCCTCAGCCCTGACCCCAGGCCCAACCTTGACCTTGATTCTGACCCCAAGCCCAAGCCCAAACCTGATCTTTAATTTAACTCCTAACTCCTAACTTCAACACAGACCCCACCCCCAATCACAACTCCAGTATTTACTCCATCCCTGACTGTGAACATCAACCCTGATCCCAGTCTAATTCCAGCCTGGACTTTGACCTCCACCTCACCCCAGCCCCAGTGCTGACCTCAGCTTTGACCCCAGCTCTCTCCTCTACAACCTCCTTATGACTCTGACTTTGATTTGTTCTAGTTCTGTTCTTGACCCTTTCTCTAACATGATCATAATGTAACCCACACCTACCTGGACCCTACAACTAACACAGGCCCTGAACCTGATGCTGACCCTCATCGTTCCTTCCGAGGACAACATGAGTCAAGCCTTCCACCTTTCTCTGCCCCTCAGACTCCCTGTGTATCTTAGGCTGTACTTTCCTTCTCCAAGCCCCCAGCATGGCTCCCAGGCCTCCAACTTTCCATCCCCTGCCCAAGCAGGGTCCCAGTCCTATGAGGATATGAGAGGGATCCTGTATGCAGCCCCCCAGCTCCGCTCCCTTCGGGGCCAGCCTGGTCCCAGTCATGAAGAAGGTGCGTGTTTCTACTGCTCTGTTGTTCTCTGAGGCTGACCCCCTCCCAGCCTCCTTCCAGCACTACTTATATCTTACTCCTTCCTTGTCCTAACCAGATGCAGACTCTTATGAGAACATGGATAATCCTGATGGGCCAGAACCAGCATGGGGAGGAGGGGGCCACATGGAGACCTGGAGCCCTAGGTGATTCCCTTCAGGTAAGCTGGGAACTGCCTTCTAAGGAAGGAGGGGAAGAGGGAGATGAGTAGGGATGGCAGGGGCTCTCAGGTGGGAGAGGAAAAAGGGTCCCCAAGGCCTGGTGCTCAGGGGGTAGGCTCCCAGACCCCTCCCCATCACCATTTCTTCTACATAGCCTGGGCCCCCTCAGGCCCGAGATCCACACCCAACCCTGAAATCTGGGGCCCCCAGCAGATGGTGTCCACCTCTGAAGTGATGTTGCACAGGATTTGTGTATGTGTGTGTGTGTACAGAAGTGAAACTCTGGCCCCCTTTGTGATCTCCAAATAAACTCATGAGCTCTTCCAGTCCTGTGACTAGTGCCTTTGTGTGGGAGGGGCAGGGAAGGTGATGGGTGCACCCCCATCCCCTCTCGAATCCAGTACCCTGGGTACAACAGGGCCTCTTCCCTCCTGTGGCTTGGCCTACACCCATTTCCCTCACTTGCTGGTCATTGTTCACTCGCCAGCTGGGTGCCCAGTGAGGAGGAAGCAACCCTGGAATTGAGTCATCACTGCTACTGAGTGAGCATCTTCTATGCTCTCACATCAGTTACCTCATTGAATTCTTAAAGTAACCTCACAAGGTGATTGAGCACTTATATGCCAGGATTATATCAAAGTATTTTATGTATTTTATCTATATATTGTATATATGTATATTTATGAATATTAGCCCATTTTGTCTTCACAAACAACAACTGTATTTCATAGATGAGAAGACTGAGGCAGAGAAGCTAAATAACATGCCCAAGGCTTGCCTAGTTTGTAAGTGCTGGGGTCAGGACCTGAGCTCTGGCAGTGTAATTCTAGAGTCTAGACTCAATTTAGACACTCTCCCTTTGTAGGTACAATTTTGTAAACAGGACACTGAGTGTCAGAGAGGCCAGGTAACATGTCTAAGGTCACACAGCTGGCACTTCACAGATGTGAATCCAGAAATCTGCAGTTCTAGCCACTGTGCCTATGACCTGATAAACTGCTTGCTTCTGATAAAAACCATGATACAAAGACTTTCAGAGCCAGAAGTCTCCAGACCCGGAAACCATTATCCAGCAGGCTCCACCACACCAAAATTCTTGTGTGAGACCAAGGTGCAATCAGTCACTGATATTCCTGATGCCTTCTGCCTGGTCTCCCTGCCGCCAGTCCTGCGAGTGCCAGTGCTCTTCTGAATCCCAGGACCAGCATCTGAAACCCAGTCCCTCTCCTGCTCCAGAAGTCTCAGTGCTCACTGAAGACTGACTGGACCTCTTCAATATCTACAATTTTATTTCTAGAATTCCTTTTCTTAATGCACCAGTTCTCTCTTCATAATGTCTTGTTTTTGCTTTAGAGACTCTATTCCTTCTTTATCTCTGAACCTTTAACTCTATCTGTATTAACAGAGTACTTAACAGGTACTTTCCTATTTTATTTTTACAGCAATCCTATAAAGAAGGTATGCTAAAATTATTTCCATTTTATAGCTGAAAAGACTGAGGCACAGAAATACTTCAATTGCTACTGACCTTAGGCAAGCCTCAGTTTCCCCAATTATTAAACAGTATTAAAGAAGGAGTCATGGTGTGGTTATTATGACCTGAACAATGGGGTGAGTTCTCCCCCTGATGGTGTCACTGTGGAAGGTTTCTGTGGCTTCTTTGGGTTTCTCTGTCTGCAAAAGTCCCATGAGTTCCCTGGACCCTAGTGACACCCCCTGGGGCCAGTTTGCTCGGGTTTCTGCCACAGTCTTACAGGTTACACAGGTTTCTGACCATTTTATTCATGAGTTTCTCAGAGCAGGTGTTTGTAACGGAAGTTTGGCCTGAATCCAAGCCCATATACTTTGGTGACCCTTGGGATTCTCACTTCCTTGGCAACTTTTTCCATCACTGCCTGTTGAGTAGCTTGCTTCCCAGGACCTGTGGATGGCCCGTGCCCAGAAGAGACAGCCCTCTCTCAGCTTCTGGCTTTGTGCATAGTGCTCTGTTTCAGCTCTCTGCTGTTCCTGGGATCTCAGCCTTGCCCTCTGTGGATGCTAAAACTCCAATCCTAGGGATCACAGCATTTCTGTGGGCTGCTTGACTTCAGCCCACCATTGTGGCTTTGATTTCTTTCATTTCTAGCACTAGGAAGATTCTGTGTTGCTTTTGAGCTCAGGTATCTATTTAAAAAAAAAAAAGCAAGCAGTAACTTCTTGTTATATTTTGCATAGTGTCTTTTTGTATGTGAGAGGTGGGTTATGAACCTCCAGCATTTCCTTGGGCTTTCATCTTGGGCAGAGTCCCTGTGGCCAAAAAATTAAAAATTAAATTAGATTAAAGTTAAAATCCCAGATCTAGTTCAGCATTCACATCCACACATTATCCTTCAGCTAAATAAGCTCTCCATATTGCCATAATCCCAGCCATTTCCTATTACCTTTCACCCAGCTTGCTTTATTCATTCAGGTTTCCTGCCTGTGCTGCAGCATTTGAGCATGTGACTCCTGGTGAAAACATACTGCTTTCTGGAGAGCAAATCCATGTCTGGGTCTTTTCTGTGCCCTGATGCCCAGTCAGGCAATGGCAAAGATCAGGAGCTCAGGAAATAGGAGGGGAAGGAGCAGTGAATGAAGGGCTGTGGAAAAGTCCTGGAATTTGTGGGGCAGAGGCTGGAGCCACTCCTGTGGGCTCTGCCATCGAGGGATGTCTCAGGAAGTAGAGGAACAGAGGTGTGTAACTCCAGCCCAGTGCTCTGGAATCAGATGAGCTGGGTTTCAATGCCAGATCACACCTTTCTAGCTGTGTGACTCAAGCTCTCTGGGCTTCAGCTTCCTAGTAAGATGGGATAGTAATCAGTTACTTTAGGGAGTCTTAAACGAGGTGTAAGCACTCAAACGTAAGTCACTATTATTGTTTGGCATTTATGAGGCCCTACTGTGTGCCAGGAGCTAGAGTGCACCAAGACCATCTGGATTAGGGCTTCTGCCCCAGGAAGAAGGTCACTGCCCAGGAAGAAGCTACACTCCGAAGCTTCTCAACTTGCTACCCATGACCGAATTTTTTGGCAGACCACTTAGAGCTCTTGAACAAGGTTTAGAGAGGAGGAGGCTTGAGGCAAGTTTCAGGCCCTCAAGGCTGCCCCCTGCTTCCCTAGTGGCCTCCACGTAGGTCCCAAGGCTGGCAGAAGAGCTTTTGGTGCAATTACTCTGCTTCCAGCCTGACTACAAGGAGTAGCTGAAGGTTTCCGAGAGCCGGAAGTTACGTGAAATCCTCTCTGCCTGAGCCTAGGATCCTGAAGATAAACAGCGCCACCTGCTGGCGTTGTGCGCCTTCAGTCTTGGCCTGGGTTGAGTCTGCAGGGAGGATTTCAGGTGAGGGCTGATGGAGTTGGATTCTAAGTGTGGGGATGTCAGTTTAGTGGATGAGGGGGGTGGAATGGGATGTGAGTGGTGTCAAAGACACTCTACTTGATGAATGTGTGAAGTGCAAGTTTTGTGAACATGATGTGTGAGAGGCAGGTGGTATTGGGTGTATGCAGTGTGGGTATTGTGTGGAAGGTGTAGGTTGGGAGGTATGGTGTGTAGGATAAGGGGCCATGCAGCTGGAGGTGATGTGGGAGGTGTGTGAAGGGTCGTGTCTATGCTGTGTTAAGTACATGTTGTGCAGGTGCTGTGAGGTGTGGAGGATAAGGTGTGTGATGTTGGTGAATGTATTGGGGAGATATAATGAAAAGGGAAGGTCTTCTCCCAATACAGGAACTCTCTCCTCAGAGGGAGTAGAGACAAGCAGTTTTATTATCGAATGAGTATTAAACCAGAATGTGATTCACATCACAAGGGTTAACCTCAAAAATAAAACTATCAGTTATTTTATTTGACAGTTTGGCCAAACTCCAGGAGTTGGCTTCCCATTCAGGTTTTTTGCTTGTTTGTTTTTTGTTTTGTTTTAGAGTGTGGCTTTATAATTTAATTTTGAGTAAAACAAGTTTAGGGAGATCAAAATTTCCTAATAATGGTCACTGAAGTTCTAAATTACTTTTAGCTAAGTCAGTCCATTTAGATATAAGTGCACATCAGGAGGTAGTGCAATTTTTAAATATAGAACTAGCTGGGGTCCCAGAAGGGGGGCACCCTCAAGAAATTCTGATGACAGAGGTCCAATTTCTTAGAGAAAAATAAAGAATTTATAAACAGTACAGTTTCAACAGGAATGCACCCCCTTCTAAAAGGAATCAGACCAAAGGCCATGACAGTTATAGTAGGACCAGCCCAGTTCCAAACAGTAGTAGGACCAAAGGCTAGCTGAGTTCCAATAGGCACAGTTCCAACAGGAACAGTCCAGTGCAAGAAAGGATATGGACCAAAGGTCAAATGAGTACTCTCAGAAAGGGAAAAGTCTTCAAACAGATCTTGAATAAATCCTGGAGAGCTCAAAACACAATGAGAGCAGAGCTCAAATCCAGGAGAAAACTTACCCTCATTGTCTAGAGTTGGCAAGAAAGCAGTGAGCTCAATTGACTCTGTGTGTATCAGCACTTGTTTGCTCACCAGCCTTGAATTTGTTGGAGGAGAAGGTGTGTGTGTGTGTGTGAGATGGTGTCCTTGTATCCCACTTCTGACACCAAGTAATGTTAAACTTAAAAATAAAACTGTCAGTTTTTTAGCACCAAAAATGGGTTTATTCAGGAATAGCAGAGAATTGCAATTCAGGACATGCAAGCTATAGCAAAACCTTAGGCAAATATGGAGAATAAATGAGAATAATACTCCTATGTAGAGGAATGGGGGCAGTTGGGAGAGGCTGTTATAAACAAAGAAGTCCATTGGGTAAACTGGGAGCCAAAAGTGTAATGGCTTTAAATTGGCTGAGTTGTGGCACTCTCGTTGGCTGGGCTATTCCTGGGTGTGATATAATGAGTCATAAGAAATACATAGTTGGTCATTCATATGACCAATTATATATTTCTCAGGTATGTTTAGTCTTTGTCCACAGTTTCTGAAAACACTGCAGGTTCTTAAAGTTGAAATGGGTGTCTTGTCATGTTAATGAGAGATTTTTGGACCCCTGCCCAAGGGCAGGGGCTGGAGGCTGAATCAGCCAATGGCCAATAATTTAGTCAATCATGACCATGCAATAAAACCCTCACAAAAATCCCTAAGAAGAGCTTATCATGATCTGCTCCCTTGGATCCTGCTTCTATGTCAGAGAGAACTTCAATTCTTGGGGTACCAGAATGCCTCCACATGCAACCAAGCCAGGCCCCAAGCTCTACGAGGATAGAAGCTCCTTTATTTGGGACCTTGCCCAATATATCTCTTAACCTGGCTGTTAAATTGTATCCTT